GTCCGCCTGTAACGGCCGCGCGTTGCCGCCCGCAGCAAGATTACCTGATGCTGTGCGCCGTAGACGAGGCGGAGGAGGTGGTGGACGGCGGCAAGAAGGACGCGATCGACGACCTGAAGGAAGGAGAGCTGGAGGCGTTCGTCAGCTCCCTGGGGCTCAGCAAATACGCAAAGAGTTGCCTGGTGGTGGAGGAGGAAGAGGAGGAGGAGGACCGCATCAGTGAGGAGAAAGAGAAGCCCCCAAAGAAAGAGAAAAGCAAGAAAACCACTACCCCTCCTTCGTCGGAAGGGAAAAAGGAAAAAAGAGTCAAGGAAAAGGCAAGCGGTGTGAAAGACAGCAAGAAAAAGCAAGCTGGTGGTGATCAGAACCAGCACCTTTCTGCAAAGAAAGAGAGGCTGGAAGAAGATTTTGAATTCCATGCCAGGCAAGTGATACTGGTCAAACCAGAGGGCAAATGGTATGATCTAGAATACACCAATGAATTCTCTTCAGAGCCACAAAATCAGACACTTCTGTCCAAATATAAGGCCTTGGCCCAAAAGCTGTACCATCACGAGACAGATCTGTACAAGAATAAGACAGATTATCAGAAGGGGGCCTCTTCAGCGTGGATGAAAACTGTTGTGTCATCGGGTACCCTGGCTGACAGGATGGCAGCGATGACCCTTCTCATTCAGGACAGTGCTGTCCACAGTCTCCAGTTTGTTGAGAACTTGGTAAACCTCATAAAGAAAAAGGGCAGCAGGCATCAGAGCCTTATGGCTTTGGATACATTCAAGGAGCTTCTCATTTCAGATCTCTTACCAGACAATCGAAAATTGTGGTCTTTCTCGCAGCGACCATTTAACAACATAGAGAAGATGTCGAGTGGCAACAGGGATTCGAGAGACCGGCGGTTGATACTGTGGTACTTTGAGCATCACCTGAAACTGCAGGTGGGAGAGTTTGTGCAAGCATTAGAAACACTGAGTCATGACTCCCTGATGGCACCGAAATCCCGAGCGCTGGCAGTTGCCCATGAGCTTCTCTGTAACAAGCCTGAGCAAGAGAAAGTTCTGCTTGTTCAGCTGGTAAATAAACTGGGGGACCCTCAGAACAAAGTCGCCACCAAAGCCTCTTATCTTTTAGAGATGTTACTTCACAAGCATCCGAATATGAAGGGAGTAGTGTGCAGTGAGGTGGAGAGGCTTTTGTACCGGTCAAACATTAATGTGAAAACTCAGTATTACGCCATTTGCTTTCTAAATCAGATAGTCCTCAGTCATGAAGAAAGTGCATTGGCTAACAAACTGATAACTTTGTACTTTTGCTTTTTTCGGAACTGTATTAAGAAAAAGGATGTTGAATCCAAAATGCTCAGTGCTCTTCTTTGTGGGGTAAACAGAGCTTACCCTTACGCTGACACTGGTGATGAGAAAGTGAAAGAACAAATGGACACGTTGTTTAAAGTTCTGCATCTTGTCAACTTTGGTACCAGTGTCCAGGCCCTGATGTTACTGTTTCAAGTGATGGACTCTCAGCAGACTGTGTCGGATAGGTACTACGCAGCACTGTACAAGTAAGTGACAGATAGGCATTTTTTATATAAATTTCAGTTTACGAGATAGTCACCGTTAATTTAAAGTTGTAGAGACGCTTATTTTGCTTTTATGATCGTGCAAGTTTTGCGTCTCATTGGCTAAAAATGTCTAACGTTTTATACGAGCTAGAAGAAAAAGCATGTGATTTATTTGACTTAACATGGGGATAAAACAAATGGTAGTGATAGGTCCTGAGAACGCAGCGTACGCATTTCATCCTTTGCACTGTTTTCTGGTGGCATGTTTTAATTCCAGATGTTATTTGAAACAAATAGGTAACTACTACTGAAATCACTTTTACAGGTACTGTGGTTTAGTCATGTAACAGCCTAAAATCTTGTTTCCTTTTTTCATGGCAGTGCGGGAGGATGTTGTGTTAACAAATTCTTCAGTTGATTTAATTTGTATAGTTGGAAAGCCTCATACTATAAAGTATCTCTCTTTTGTCCCAGCTGGTTGTTTAGACTCTTTGTAGGATCCTTACAGGCTTCTGTTTAGTAGGCCAAAGGGAAGTTGCTGATTTTTTTTAATAAGGGAACTCAATTTCCCCCAGAACATGCAATGTATTTAGGGGTCTTTGTGTGCCTGGCAGCCTGGAAAGAAAGTGGAGTGGAAAATGAACTTGCCAACACTTAGGTCTGGTCTGATTGTGAAGCACACCGATTGCTGACCATTTTCTATTTTTTTTTTGAACATCTGAATAAATCAGATTAGTTTCTCACTTTGAACATTGCAAATTTTGAAACCATTTTCAGCTGAACTCAGTTTCTTTATGTTTTCTTACAGGTTTTTTTGTTTACTGATACAGTTTTTTTTTAAATCTACAGTGTCTCGTATATCTAGAAATATTACACAGCTGTTGACAGTTCAGGGTTGATCACAGTGGTTTTCAGTACTGGGGAACAAGCTGTCGCTGGTCTTCTAGATGGCACTCTGAAAGATGTGGGTGATTGTTAATAGCAATTGTTCTCCTATGTGCATTATGACAATCAGCAATATTTTTTCCTGTGTTTTCTACAGGAAGCTTCTAGATCCTGCTTTAGCAACCTGCTCAAAGCCATCCATGTTTCTTAATCTTATGTATAAATCTCTGAAGGCAGATGTAGTCTTACGGCGCGTGAAGGCCTTTGTGAAGAGGTTACTTCAAGTCACTTGTGGACAAATGCCACCCTTCATTTGCGGAACCCTGTACCTTCTGTCTGAGCTTCTGAAAGTAAAACCAGAGTTAAGGGTCCAGTTACAGGATCATGCGGTATAAGATGATTTCTTTATCTCGTTGGTTTTTTCAATAAGAGATATTTTCATAAGCACCTTTCCCTAACCTGTTTATTAGTAACCTGAGGGTTTGCTAATGTGTTATGTTACAGGAGAACGTACGTGAACAGTTATAACTACATTAACATCTGCATAGATTATGGTATTTTAAGCATTCTGGTGGGTCCTGTGGGCTTCATTTGTGGAGAGAGGATTAAAAAACATGGCCTGTTTATTTCTTCTGTCTGCAGTCTCTGAAGTATAGCTAGGCAGGACTGGATTTTTTTTTTTTTTTTTTTTTTTTTTTTTTTTTTTTTTTTTTCTTTCTTCAGGTGGGGAGGGACCATTACACTTGTGTGATGTAAACTGTAAAGTTCAATTTTAAGTCCTGTATGAAGGCCAACAATCTGTATTGTTTAAAAATTGGCTATCATTTGTTTATATTTTTGTAAGTGGCTTCTTAGGAACTATATGCATGGTTTTCCTAATAAATCAGAATAAAACTAGAAAGGGAAAGTTGTTTGCTAGCATTTTTTGTTGTTTAGGAGTCAGATGATGAAGAGTGCTTTAAGGATCAAGAAGAGACTGAAGGGGATGAGGAAAAGTTCATGGATGCAGACAAAGAAGTAGAAGGTGAAGAGAGAAGCACAATGGAAAATTCTGCTAAAACAAGCAATTCAAATTCAACAGCCTCGTGGGTGCATCATCTGAATATGGGAGGTAAATTAGCAAGAAAATACAGTTCATTTAACTTCTAACATTCCGTAACAGTGACGTGTTGACCAAGACTTGTGGTAAAATTAAGCGATTAAAACATAATTTTGGGGTTTTGGATTGAAGTTTTATTCAAAGCAGTCGGTCAGGATAATTTTTCTTTAGCTCAGTGGTGATGAAGAGACTGTAGGAATCTGCTAGTGTATTTCACTTTATGCAGTTCATTCCATTTGTGCTTAAGCAATAAACAGGCTTGGGATTTTTTGATTCTGTGTTCAAACACCTTCAGAGCAACGTAGCCAAGGTCAGGATGTGTAACTGCTCATTCGCTTGTGAAGCATGCTAGAACAATTCCTCCAGC